AGAGGGGTGAGATTGGTAGGGGGAGAATGGTGGAATGGAGAAAGGGAAGGAAGGAGGGGTTGTTTGAGAGGGGGGGAGGTGAGGGGGTGCAGGGGATGAGGAAGCGGAAGTTGAAGTGGAGGGAGGGGCGAGGACGCAGGGCCTCACGATTGGAGAAAAAGCTTACTTAGGCGTCGCTAAAGACGCAGATCGGCTTAACCACGCCATGAATGGCCGAGGGGGCGCCTCCCTCAGATTCCCGCCCCAACCGACACCCCTCCCACACCTCTAAAACGCCTCCCCCTTTACAGACCGCCTCTGTAAGCATTTATACTTATTACCCTAATTACATCACATCTCCCTCAATTCATTCATATGTAATTTGCCTTCTATGTACAGACTGTTCAGTATTCGTCCATGCTGTCTTAAAGGAGACCCTCACCATGCCCGTCCATGCTGTCCTAAAGGAGGCCCTGATCACCCCGTCTTCCTCTCTTCATCATGCTGCGCTCTGCAGCTGCAGAGCAGAGTGAAGCAAGCACTGTACAGTAGACATTCCCTTGATCCACCACCCCCTCTCCGCCCACTTACCGAGTCTTCTTCATTTTGATCACCCACCCTTTGCCCTCCATACCGCACCGAGTGTATTGGATATCGCTAACGCTCATCCTTTCTACGATCTTCCGCTACGTTCCTTTCCTTACAGCTCTGTCCGATATCGCTACTACATATACTGTGCACATCCCTCTCCACCTATCTCCTGGCCAGGGGGCACTCCCTTTTACCACAAAGTGAACGGTACTGTACAGTACTACCCAACCCCTTTCCCCCTCTTTCCCCCTCTTTCCCCCTCTTTCCCCCTCTTTCCCCCTCCGTTCCTCCCTTCCCGTTCCTCCCTTCCCGTTCCTCCCTTCCCCTTCCTCCCTTCCCCTTCCTCACTTCCCCTTCCTCCCTTCCCCTTCCTCCCTCCCTCTCTTCCTCCTTCCTCTCCTCCAATGTCCCTCGTTTCCCTCCTCCCCACTGCTTGCCCCCGCTGCATTCTCAGGCTTCAAAACATCCGCACACCCCCCTCCTACACCCGCCCCATCCGTCCCACTCCCCCGTGCTCCCTCTGCCTGGGCATCTTGCAAGATCCGGCTCTCACCGCGCTTATCACTGCCCTCCGCCCGCATCTCTCTGCCCTCCGCCACGACCGTCGCTTCAAAATCAATGCCTCGCTGCCCATATCCGCTTCCCTCCTGCGCGACCGCGCCGCCCGCCACGTCCTCCATCACGCCAACCTACACCCGGCCTCCCCGACGGACCCCCACAACGTCTCCCTCCGCGAGGCCGTCAAGTGGGCCGTCTGCGCCCGCGTCCACGACGCCTTCGGCATGCGCTACCACCCAGACGCCCAGCTCTTCGTTGACCTCTCCTTCTCGCATACGCCCTCCAACTCTGATGCCGCCTTCGTCCACACTGACCCCGCCAATCCCCACAAGCGCCGCAGACTCCAGAACGACGTTTCCGCCACGGCCGTCGTGCGTGCCGCCGCGGCCATGACCGACCAGCAGTTTGTCGAAACCATGGGTCCGCGCTTCTTCCCGCCCCCGCCGATTGAGCAGCCCGCGGAGGTCGCCGTGTCGGTATACGTCGCGCCCGTCTTGTTTGCGGGGAGGTACAATAAGCTCTCGCGCGTCGTGTCGCAGACCCCATGGTTTGTCGATGCGCCGCCCGCCGCATCTGGCCTTGCCGCCATCGCGCGGGCGAACGAGGGGAAGGTCACGGACCAGTACGGGCGCCGCAAGCGCACAGAACTCAGCGTGGAAGACGCGGCGACGGCAGGGATTCGCGAAGTGCTTAACCCGGACAAGGCTACGTTCACAGCGGGCGGTCGCGAGGATGTCGACGTACGCATGCTAGGGAAGGGAAGGCCGTTTGTGGTTGAGGTAATTAATCCAAAGATCGTGCCGGCGCTCATTGAGGAAGAGATGGTGGAAAGGATGCGGGCGTTAGCGGCGTCAGTGAGCTCGTCGGTTGTTATTCGCGATTTTCGGATGGTGTCGAAGGAGTACTTCGCGCAGATGCGCTCGTTTGAGATGGAGAAGAAAAAGTGTTATAGGTGCGTTGTGTGGACGAGACGGGAAGTTGGCAGCGAGGAGTTGAAGGATAAGCTGGAGGTCCAGGGGGGGTTTATGCTCAGACAGAAGACGCCGTTGCGCGTGCTGCATCGCAGGACGCAGGCGGTGAGGGAGAGGTGCATCTTTGAGGCGCGCTTGACTCGGGTCGTGTCGCCCAATTTTTTTGTCATGGACGTGGTGGCAGCGGCAGGGACTTACATAAAGGAATTTGTACACGGCGATCACGGAAGGACGTTGCCCAACGTGGCGCAGCTGCTCGACTGCGATGCCGATATTGTGCAGCTTGACGTGACAGATATTTACACGGACAGCGAAAAGAGGTGACGTTTGGAAGACGGTAGAGCAAGCAAGATTTATTCGCGTGAGTGCAGACTATATGTGCATGGCAACATATGCTGCAACATATAGTGGCATATCTTTTTGTAACATTTGGACAAGATGGTCGGCGTTCATGAATCCCTTCCCAAGCCATTGGAGCGAGGATATCCATTCTCATTCTCCGCCTGCTTTGCTGAACCGCACGTGTCGTGACAGTCACAGCCACAAAACTCCTTCGCTCGACGTGGTCGATAAGTTGCCGTGGCTGTAGCTGTCTCCTTTACGGTAACGGCGTCGAGCAAAGGGAGCTTGGGAAAGAGCCGTTCGTACAACCACCGAGCGATAAACTCAGCCGTGGGGCTATCGGTGTCGAGGGAATCGTTGAGATGTTGATGATCCAAATGTTTTTGCAAGACAGGCTTCACGGCCGCAGATATGTGCGTGAAATCACAGAGCATATTGGTCCCTGGGCCGCGCTTTTGGAGCGAAGACCCGGAAAGCTCAAGGGAAACCGAGTAGCTGTGTCCGTGCAAGCGTGCACATTTGCCGTCATGGTGGGCAAGCGTGTGTGAGGCTTCAAAGGTAAAGGTTTTTTCGAGTATGTACATAGTGCATGTGTTGAAGCGGCAGCGATGAGGTTGAGTTAGTCGCGGCAGTTGCAGGTGAGACAAAAGGGGAAGAGAGCGTTCGTGTCTTTGACTGTCCGACACCTAGGCAAGCGCCGGCGCGACAACCGCGCAGCGCCCCCGAGCTCGTTGCATGCGGCGACCTCAGATGTTGAGAGGAAAGCCAACGAAGAAAGGCACTGTTCTCATTTGCGGAAGCTAATAATTAACGGAAAAGTAGATTTTCAGAAATATCGACTCACCACCAGTTAACTCCGAAACGGTTCTCATCTCCGCCGCCACAGCAAGCGACTCATATGATCGAGCTCGCGAGCTGCCCTGTGTGCCCCTCTTTAGGGTGTGCCTTTGCATAGCATTTCGTCACATGGTGGTGCCTCAGTCTCAGCCATTCATGTTTTCCAGCGCCAGTAATAAACTGCGCCATTGGCGCATCTGGAACAACATGCAACATGAGCTCTTACAGTCTGTATTTGTGTGTTACAAGTGTTTGCTACATGTCGTTTACTAACCTCTCCACCTTCATACCTGGGCGGTTTCACCTTCCACTTTCCCCATTGTACAACATCTCGAGTGCGAATCTAAAGTTGAAAAGGTTGTGGCAGGGAGCTAGCTAAGGTGCAGATGAGAATGTGCGATGCCGCTCAAACAGAATCGCATGGACATGAGAACCCCAGAGAGTAACACTGTCGAGCACCCGTCGCCTTGTAGTAAGCACAACCCCATTTGCATTCTCCTTTTCCATACTTGGTTTCTTTCTACGAAAGTAGAAAGAAACCAGCCACTGACGAAGAATAGAGCACTTTGAAGTATGACTTTCCCAGAGACGAGTGCTATGACAAAGAACAACCTCACAAAATCCGTGGTGTCTGTCTAGTCTGTAATACAATCAGTAACCTCCAAATGGGACTCTCCAAGAGTTGCTCACTCTTCTATGGAGTCCAAAAACTCTCTAGTGGAGGAATACATAACCTAAGTGTACTTGGAAAGAAGTTCTGGGAAACACCATGAGGCCCTCAGAGGGCCATCAATTCCTTTTGCCCTCAGGCTAAGGGCAAAAAGAATTGATGGCTTCTGAACTTTTAAGAATCTCGCAGTTTTTACGGATGACCAGCGCCCTTTGTAGTCGTGATGTACAGGGAAAAAATAATCTAAGTTGAATCGTCAAGTACTATTAGGACCCATCACAGGTGATGAGAGTGCCCTTGAAATCATCTCCGCTTTTATTTGACAGTCAATGGTACTGTAGTGAAAGATCTATACTTTCACAAAATATGAGCAAACGACACTTCTCTGTGATACAAAACACAGGACTTAGACCTTCCCAAAGCATAAAGACGACAGCGCATCCCTTCGTAATCTTTATTCTTTCTTAGGTTAAGCTGGGTTTGGTTGAACTGCGTGCTTGGTATTTTTAATTTTGGTAGCGGGTAAAGCACGTATTGTTATACTACTATTGTCTACGTAGGAATGCCTAGTTTCTCCTCAACAAATTTTATCAGCCTGAAGATGCACCTGCGCCTCTCCACAATGCGATTGTTGTGGAGAAGGATCTTGTACAACATTACAAACTGTAGCAGAAGGGTTTCAAGGATATCAACAATGTTGCCCCCCCCCCTCTTGAATTTTTGTGCAGGAGGGCATCTATTAACATCGTAACATTCTTCTGTTACACCCACCCCTGGAAAAAAGCGATGACCGCTGTTTAGGTATGTGAGTTAGACCTCTCGCTGTAGCGGCGCATGTCTGAGGTTAGGCCTGGGGGATGCACAGATGCTTAACAAGGAAAACGGGTCTCGATATTCCTCCGCGAACACGAAGAACGGTTTGCTATTCTTATGAAGTGCTACTTAGCTGCTCCATTTGTTCCGACCTGTCTATTCCTCTGCATCCTGAGCTATGAGGTTAGTTTCAAAAACGAGATTATGAATTAAGTGATGTCAACCAAGGAAAACAGGAAATAACGCCTCACTAGGGTCAAGAGCATTTGCGTCGAGGGCAGCCAAGTATACCTCTCTTTTTTGGCTTACTTCTTCCCCTCATCGTATTTCGACAAAAGACAGTTCTCTGCTATTCTGAAAGCCTCGTCGTATGCGGCATTATCCTCATCCGCCGTCGTGTCCACGTACCTTCCGAAGAAGTCATCACGTCCTGAAGGATTGAAGAGAGGCGTTTTCTGGACGGTATCCATGTATATTGCTGCTTCTTCTGTCTCGACGCGAGAAGCGCTCATCGACATTCTTTTGATGACTTTTTCTCGGCCCTCACGTGTTAAGCCTGCACTACAGTAGCGAGCACTCGCATGAAAGATTACCTTCGCATGGTGGAAGGAATCAGCTCAATTTGCACGTTTGCCGTTGCAGAATAACCATAAAACGCCTTATGTAATGCATTTCCCCACATCGAATGTACCAAAGCTACGTCAGAGAATACCTACGTCGCAGTGATAAGAAATCGTAGAAACTATACTTTCTGCGATTTCTTATGCGTTTCTCTTATGCGTTTCTCTTATGCGTTTCTCTTTCGCTTCATGGTATACCACGAAGCGACTTTCCGAGTGTCTACTGCAGTCTACTGTCTAAACGACCAGCAGTTTCCTACTACGGGGCGAGCGGGGGAGGCGCGGCATGTGCTTTTACGGTAGTGCCGAAAGGCGGGTGGGGGCAGGGGCGGTGTTCGCGTCCGCGGAGGGGGCGGCGGTGCGCGTGCACGTCAACCGTGTGCTCTTTTCCTTCTACCGCACGCACCAACCCAGTCCGCCAACGCCGACATGCGGCGGGGCGTCGAGCCCCGAGCGCGCCGGTGGCGGGGGGGGAAGGGGGCGCCTCCGGCGCGCTACTTGTTGACGAGTTCCTCCAGCGCGCTCTGCTCGCCTAGCTTGGAGTGGAGCAGCACACCGCCCTGCACGAGCACGGCGACGGCGGAGCTGGCGATGGCGACGGTCGAACGCCTCGGCTTGTGCCCGGCCTCCTTCCACGTGCCGCGCACGCGATTGTGCACGTGCAGCACGAGGAACAGCGCGTCCTGGAACAGCGCGGCCGACAGGTTGGTGCGCGTCGGCACCGCCAGCACCGACTTGAGCCCCGACGCCGTGCACGCCACGCCCAGCGACTGCGCCACTACCGATACCGACTTCGTCCCGCCCGGCAGCTGCCCCGGCCGCTTGTCCCCCAGCAGCAGCGAGACCCCCGCCGCCGGCACCAGCAGCAGCGGCGCCCCCAGCAGGATCGACAGCGTGCCGGACGCACGCAGCACGTTGCGCACGCTCAGGATAGACGAAAATCTCATTTTTGGTGCGCGGGGGAGGGGGAGCGGGAGGTTGCGGTTTTGGTTGAGGTGCTGTCGAGATGAATAGGGCGGGAAGTTAGGCTGCGGGGGTGGGGGGCGGGGGGTGATGTTGTATGGTTCTGCCGTTTATGTACCGTTTTGGAGGGCGCTCAAATAGTCATAGTCAAAGGTTGGGTATGCGACGCAGCTTGACAGGACGGATAGGATGTGCGTTCTGGAGCATTGTGTTACAAGGGGAGGGAGACTAGGGAAAGAGGAAAGCAATGCAGTCGTTAGTGCGAGAAAGGACGCGTCGATCCTTTCATCGTTTAAAAATTGCATTGGTTAACGGTTGGAGAACGCGAACGAGTGACGGAAACGGTACTACCTCAAAATTGAGTGTTCCCGCCTGTGCGATGTGGTTGTTAGCGCTGTCACAGTTGAATAGTCAAAGGGTCAAGATAGCACGGTGCCCAACCCCGCAGATTCGAACCTCGTATACGGTGCCCGCGCTTACAACATCCTGCAAGCTCCTCTCTTCCCCGCTCTTCCCCTCCCTTCCCCACCCGTTCTTGGTCCCCATTCAATCTCCGCCAAATATCTATCTCGCCACGCTCCCGCTCCGCTCGTTGCAGATCCCTCACCCCAACTCGTCCAGATCCACGCCGGCCACATCCCCGACCCCACATATACCTTCGCTTTAAAAGTCGCGCAACAAAATCATCAACATTACACTTCTCAACCGTCACAAATATTCACTGTGCTCCTTCCTTCGTGGCCATCCGTCTTCAGAAACGGCCTCGCCATAGAAATATACATTACCAGCCAACGCCTTTGGGGAGGTCTGGTACGCGATATGCTCAAAGATGTTGGAGAGAATGTGCCTCTCTCTCTCCAACGCGACCATGAGCGTCATATACACATCGTTACACCTACAAACTACAGAAAGTAGCACTGCCGCAGTCCCCGTACGCTAGCAACTCCGATGAAAAGCCATCGTACCCACGTCAAAATTACCGTCGGTTCACTTAATCTTCGGCATCATACTGGATACCAGTAAGGCAACGAATAATGACTCACGCATACCGCAACGGTGGGGAAACCCTGACGAATAATACCACGCTGACTCCACAACGACCTGTTGGTGAAGGGGACGACGTTATCCATTTCCCAAGAACACACTACTTGTACGTCCGCTTTTTCGAAGTGCCGCGATTTGTGCCAGGAGCAATGCGCAACGGCTGCATCTGTTGCGGCAGACGAAGCCTGCAAAGCAACTGTTGCAGCAAACTGCCTGCGTCCCAAGCCTTCATATCGCGACCCACAGAGCCAGTCAGTCTTCTTAGGCACATGCCCTTTCGACATGAGCTATCCTTGCCGCTTTGTCTTGTCCGACGCGATTTGTCCTCTTCCCTAAGCTTGCTGAAAGCTTCCCTCATGCGCCTGTCTTGCTTGCTAAAGAAAATTTCCTTTTAGACAGAGCGCATGCTGTCGCACGATGGCAAGGAAGTTCTTCATGTCTCGAGGCCAACTCTTGGTTCGCACAATATAAATGGATTACAATAGAGTTCTCACCCTTCCTTTTTGCATCTTTCTATCCATAAAATGCGTTGGGCCCGAATACGTGGATGTCATTGCTTCAAAGAATACCAGAGCTGCAAATCACAAATGGCGAGGGAGAAGACGAGGGGCGAGATCGAGATATAGATAACGGACACGACAATTGCCGATTAATGTACTCCATTTATCCATCGCCCCTCAGAGGCAGTTTGCGACACAGAAACAGTCCTCCAGTCAAACAGAATTGTTGGACAAGACAATTTAGAACACTAGCGTCGAAACGCTCACAGCTATGAATTGTTCTCGATCGTCACGGTTTTCATCGGGTTTCAGCAGTTGAGAATGAAATCGTTACGATTACCCGTTTTCATTCATTAGTCTCGTGTGGTTAAGGTAAGGATGCCAACGTTAGACGTCGCAGACCATTCATAGGATTCTATCCACTACTCGCGACTTCCACTGATCGCGACCTTGGGACATGTACTCTAATCGCACGTCGGCATGCGGGTCATGGCAATTGCGGGGGGAAATAAAGAATTAGCCATGGCCTTTGACGTCATAAACCTCTTACAGGATGCCAATGTACACGGTACACAAATTTCATGAAGCCGCCGAGATCTTGAATAGGAAAGCAGATGTCACGCTCGAGTGTCTATCGGACTGTTAATACTCATGTGAGGACAAAAGTTGCTCTATTATTTCTAGACAACGAAACGCGGTTTCAAATCTATGTGAAGCAACTAGAAGGCCATCATCACAGGGAAGGCCATCATCACAGGGAAAGCACTTGCTCGTCGATTGTAGCGAAAACCAACTAGTTGATGTACATAAAGGTCTTCATAAGAAATATCGGCTTAAAGTAAGCATTTTCTTCAAGCAAATTTTACACCAGCAGCATAGAGACATTGCGTAGAGTGCTTTCTATTCGGTGACAGACCGCACAGACAGCCTGTCCAGGACAGTATGAATTTCTCACCACACGATTTCATGGCGAAAATAGGAGTTTGGGAAATAGCACATGTATATTTCAAGAGGGGGGGTCGGTCCGGGTGTTGTTGTTTTTCTGTCCCTCTTGTCGCGGGGTGTCGCGGCGCGCCCCTTTCTCTTATAGAGGGGCCGCCAGCATCTTCCACTTCCCAGGACCGCCGCCCTTCAAAGGGAGATTGTCCACGTGTACACCTGGCGTACACATAGACCAATAAAATCATCTTTTGAAGGCTTTGGTCCTGGGGCCACTCTTGGGTACTGTACCCTGTACAGTACCCCAAATCTCCCCCACACGACCCCCTCCCCAGCCGCCACCCGGGCAGGGGCAACATATATACTGACCGCTGCTGCTCCTGGTGATCGGCTTGAGAGAGGGAACCGGCGCTCGACCTTGACGATCCCATTTGACACAATTTAGTGTCACCATCGACACCAATCCCCCAATCGCTCCACGTATACACGTGTACAGCTCATCATCACTGTAAGCTATCACTTCTATCACTAACCTACCCACCTTCTCTACTTTTCACACAACTAACTTCGGTGTTCCTGCGTTTTTTTGAAGAACCTGTCAACGCGTCAGGTTCTGATTGCCTCCAGTCTAAGAGATTGCTGATTGCTTGTGTGGCGGACTCAGGTGAGTTTTAATCCTCGGGTCTGCCCCTTGCAAGAAAGCTGATCTGACGAGGATGGCGAAAACCAAGCAGACGGCGCGCCGCAGTACTGGCGGCAAGGCGCCCCGTAAACATATTGCGTCGAAGGCGGCGAGAGTATCCGTTGAAGATCACAACGCTCGTGAGAGGATAATGTGGCTATTGTCGCAAAGAACGGACGTAATGAAGGTGTCGAAGAATGAAAAAGCTTCGCCTCGTTTTCCGTACCATGTTTGGGTCGGACCGAATCTGACAAGGTATGACTTGGATTTGACGGAAATGCCCCGCCTTTTCGGTCGACATGTGGTCATCCACGTAAGTGGGAGAGGAAAGCACGGGGTCTCGGTGATGAGTTTTCCCGAGTCGGGCTGACTGAATCGATTGACGATAAGCGTGCTTATGATCACGTGGAGGATGATGCTTGGAATATTGAGTCTATCTGCTATGATAGACTCGCAAATAAGTACGTCGCCATCGACGCATGGGATAAGTCGAAGCACCCCATTCTGCTGTATACCGTACAAGTCTGTGGTGGGAACAAATCTTCGGGCCACCAGATCCAGAACGACAAGTTCTACACGAACGGCAGAGACCGTGTGTCAGCTTACCTTCTCATTGATGAGTGGTGCCAGAAGTATCCAGGGCGCTGGTTGGCAATGTCCACTTCCGGTGCCCGCTCAGAGAGCTCTTTGGCGTCTTCTTTCCATATCCACAACCTTAGTGCTACTCCCTATCAAGATCGAACTGATCTATGCATCCCAGCTGCCGTTTGCAACTCGTTGTGTGTTCTCGGCGCGCGACAGCTCGCAGATTCGTATTGGGAGCACTTCAAGGAGAATGCGAAGTCGTTCGTGCAGCAGGGGAGTCTTCCACGACGTATTCGTGGTCTGAGAGATGCCAACAAGCATCTCAAACGAGAGGAAGTAGTTCTCGAGCACATCTTCGGATCGGTCCCAACGATAGGCAAACTTCTTGATGTCGAGTCGGGAGTGTTTGTTGTCACGCTTGAGGGGAGTTCAAACAAGTTGCATACGGTGTGCGTATCTTCAAAGGATCACATCATATTGGATTGTATGGAACCGTACCCCATGCCCTTCTCCCTTCAAGCTTTGAAACTCTGTCTTGGTGATGGAGTTAGTCTGCTCGAAATTCGTGAAATGCGAAAGGTCTGTCTTGTCCGTGCTTCCACCACAAGAGCGCTTAGCGCTTCCACTAAGCGTCGCAAACGTCGCAAGCTGAAAGCTGAAAGAAATAAGTCGAAATAGCCACGCTCTTTTCTCTTTTCTTGCCTATACGGGTTTCATGATAGCAATTGCATCTATTCTCTACATGCATTAAACGATTTTATGCCTAAGACTTAGCCTTAAGCTTTAACAAAGGACTTAGGCTTCGAACTTCCTTTCACGATATAGGACGAGTCGGCGAGCATGAATAGGCTTCCTGGATACTCTGCCGTGCTGCGACTCTAGCACATATCGCGGGTGGTGAACTTCCAAGATCCGGCACGGGCCGTAGAATTTGGAAACGAACGCGGGCCATTTCGTACCACCGAATGAAGTTCCCCGAGCGACAAGAACTTTGTCTCCCACTTCGAAGAAGTGAGACGACGACGCTACGAGCCTTTTTTCCACAGAGGCCCCTGAGCGAACTGCTCGTGGGACAGATCCAGTCAGGAGCTCCAAACGACGATGATGGTCTAAGGAAGGAACAACTAGGCTTGCACCTGTCTCTGCGTTGGAATCCAACCGAGGCGGGACCCCATACATTAATTCGAAGGGCGACACGCCGGTCTTCATGGTACGTCGGCGATACCCATACAGGACCTGGGTGAGTGCTTTGTCCCACTCCATTCCAGTTCCAAGAACTGTCTTACGGACGGCAGCCTTCAAAGTTCCAACCATTCTCTCTGCTCTACCGTTAGACATGGGAGCGTAGGCGAGGACGGTGCGCCAAGTGATACCGTGTCAAGCCATGAAGCTAGAAACAGCCGAGGCTGTGAAGCAGGTAGCATTGTCAGAGACAATGGTTCTCGGAGGGCCGAATGAGTACATGATTTCTCTCTTGACGAAGTCGAGAACTACTTGAGGAGTACTATCAGCAGTGGATAGAGCAATTGGCCATCCTGTGAGGTGTTCGACCGCAACCAACACGAAGCGATTTCCAGACGAAGTGACAGGGAAGGGTCCAGCAAAGTCAATAGAGAAAACATCAAACAAGCTTGTGATGGGAAGGCGCAAAGTTGTCTTATACCTGGGAATCGGACGTGCCTTCTGACACCCGTCACAACTCTTCACGTAGTCTCCCACGTCCATACCAACGGTCGGCCACCAGTACCTTTCCGTGACAAATTGACGAGTGGTCTTCAAGTCCCAATGACCAATGTCGTCATGGAAACCCTTCAGTATCTTTTCGCGATCGGAAATTGGGGCAACAACACGAAGGCCACGAATGGTGCGGCGGAGCAACTTCGACTCCCAGACAAGAAAGTTTTTCGCATTATTCTTCATGCGAGACTTCCTGTAATCATCCAACCCAACCGGTGTTTCGCCTTGCAGATAGGACATGATATCTTGGCAAGACTCTTCTAGATCTTCTGGAGAGTAGATCGGGGTCGTGATAGCGAGGGCAAGGTCTCCCTCTTCCTGGCAAGTTGGGTTGTCGCCGTTCTTGGGCTGAATGCGAGAAAGGTAATCGGCTGCACTATTTGCGGATCCACGACGATATTCCACGGTGAAGTCGTACTCGGCTAAGAAATCTAGCCAACGAGCCAAACGACCGTGGATGTCTTTCTTGCGAAAGACGTAACTAAGAGCCTGGTGATCCGTAACCAACTTGAAAGGTGTAGACGAAAGCACGTAAACACGAAATTTCTTCAAAGCAAAGATGACCGCAAGCGCCTCACGCTCACAAGCGGAGTACTCGCGCTCAGATGTATTCATAGTACGGCTTTCGTACTGGATGGGGTGTATTTTCCCATCTTCCTTCTTTTGAGCCAACACAGCCCCGACGGAGACCGATGACGCATCCGTCTCAACGACGAAGGGCTTCTCGAAGTCTGGGTAAGCCAAGACTGGCGGAGAAGTTAACTTTATGCGTAGTTCATCAAAGGCTTCTTGCATTTCTCCGGTCCATTTCAATCTGCCGTTTCCGGATGTAGCCGCATGGAGTACCGCAGCAATGTCCGCAAACTTGCAGATGAAACGACGGTAGTAGCTTGCTAACCCAAGAAAGCTCCTAAGTTCAGTCGCAGTGGTCGGGATCGGTGCATTCCGAATCACTTCGACCTTGCTCGGGTCAACGGCAATCCCGCCTTTGTCGACAAAATGACCGAGCAACTTGATCTTCGCCTGGGCGAAGCTACACTTTGTCGGCTTAAGCTTAAGACCAGCCTCGTCAAGCACATCAAATACATGCTGCAGGTGGCGAAGATGTTCTTCTATAGTCTTAGAGAACACCACAACGTCATCGAGGTACACACGCACAAACCGCACTCCGCGAAATATTGTATCCATCATTCTCTGAAATGTCGAAGGCGCATTCATCAATCCAAAGAGCATGACTTCGAACTTATACGTCCCGTAGCGACAGACGAAAGTAGTCATTTCTTTGCATTGTTGTGCCATCCGAATTTTCCAGTAACCACTGAACAAATCCAGAGAACTGAAGTACGCACTTCCTTCCAAGTCATCAAATATCTCTTCTATTTTCGGCAAAGGCCATCTGTCTGCTTTCATCTTCTGGTTCAGAGAACGGTAATCAACACAGAAGCGTGGATTCCCATCTTTTTTGGATACGATGACGACTGGAAAGGACCATGCGGCGCTGGAAGGCGTGATGATTCCTGCTTCCAGCATTTTGTCCAGGTCTTTCCGAACGATTTCGTTATGCAAGGGAGCCATTCTCCTCGCCGAGTGATAGATCGGATTAGTATTATCTAACTCGAAATGGTGCTTGATTGGGACTTCAGCAGGCCGAAGGTCGTCAAGGGATGTAGCAACGATACTCTTATCCATCAGGGCGGTCTCGATGACTGCTTGAGCTTCATTGTCAAGATGCACAAGTTTTTCCCGAAGCATTTTCATGGCCTTGTTGATGACATTCGAATCAGGTGATTCTACTTCCTCATCTTCTCCGGTCGCTCTGTCCAGAGTTAAGTCTAGCTCGAAAGGTTCATCGCCGAGGATGGCGACAACATAAGTCTCTTCTTCCGACGAGTTTTCTGAGGCGAACGACTCGACATCAGAAGTGAAGTCCTCACTATCAGTCTCCGAATCCGCGACAATAAGATGTACTTGATCAAACTCTAGACTCATTTTCACGGTTTTGTTTCCGATCAACATACTAACAGACTGGTGACCTAGATCGATGCAGGCTTGAAGTTCTTCGAGAGTTGGATACCCGATTAAGATATCAACTGGGGATCCCTCAACAACCAAGAAGTTGAGTGAAGTAACAGCGCCATTGAACGTGACAGGAACTTCCTCGATGGAACCTAAGCAGGTTGTCTTTTGTCCATTGGCGACCGTAATCTTCGTCGAGGTCGGCTTTGGAGACAAAGAGAGCTTCGATGCCACAGATGCATTCATAACATTAGGGATAGGTCCTGAGTCTAACAACGCTCTCATTTGTGTCCCGTAGACTTGTACCGAAACTACTTTCAGACGTTTTGGCAAAGTACCGATCGAAGCAGCTACGGGGCGTCTAGGGCGACTGTTGAACAAACGACGGATCTCTTTCTTAGCCTCGTCGCCATCTCCTCGAATCAGTTGACCGAATGTCAAACCAGAGGGGGCGTTCGCGAGGGAAGAAACAACATCGTACTTCCCCGAGTGCTCTTGGACGGCGTTCTTCTTACTTGTGCTCTTCTTTCTTGGTCGACGGCCGGGCTTAGAAGGTTTGCTCATGTGGTTCGGAGTCCAGTACTTACGCGGGTTGAGAAGGGACGGGATTGGCTCGCCGCCACCATCCTTTCGCGTCTTGGCCACCGGCTCTCCATCGGCGTTTCTCTTGACTGATGCCACTAACTTCTCATCAGCAGGGAGGTCGTCGTGCGTCACAACACTCACTTGGTTTCCTGCGGAGCCCGTCTGTGTACCCGACACGGCAATATCCGTCTGGGTCTTCTTAGGAGGGTAGGCACTGCTACCTCCCCTCTGTGGACCAATTCTAGCCCAACAGCTTGTCTCTGAATGACCAAATTTTCCGCAGCGAGGGCATTTCGTGTCCCTATGCGGATTCGCATCGCATCTATTAGCTCCATGACCCGGTCGTTTGCAATAAGAACAAGTACGATCGTGGGCGGGGCGGAATGCTGTTGCGTCATCCCTCGACTGATTCTTCTTGATAATAAGGGAAATACCGTCTAGTCGATC